TTCCCCAGCACCGTGTGCCTCCAGGGCTGGCTTCATCCCTGCAGCTTTCAGTGAGCATGGCTACAGGGGCCAGAACGGCCAGTAGGAAGGAGTTCCACAGGCCTGGACTCCGCACTGCTCTGAAGGCCCGGCAGCTGCCATGGCTTTTCTCCCTGCAGCTGTGGGTGTCTGAGAACTCCGCCACACTCAGCACCTGGGCTCGGCTGCTTTTGCTTTCAGGATTCCCAACCTTGGGAAGAAAAGCTTGTGATTTCTCTCCCTGGGTAAATGTGCGTTTTGTTATCTGACCTCAAGAAATAGCATGAAATTAACTTATTTCCCTTACCCTTGGTTAAAAGAAATGTAATTTTTTTCCCCTGTGGCTCTCCACACGTTTAGTAATATCTGACCATAAATAGTTTTAGGACTGGAGAGGGCCAAGCAAATAAAACAGCCTTGCCCATGGGCTGGAGAAAAAAATTCTGCCCAACAAATTTAAATTGCCTTTTCCCTTTGATCCTACCGCTTATTGGTGGCCTGAAGGAGGACAGCGCCAGTGGGCTAAGGGCTCAAATTTCCATTTCTATCACTTTTTCTTTACCCACTGCAGTGTCTATCTGGACTGCTGGTCATGTTCTCTAAGTGAGCTATGTCGCTTTCTGCTCCCAAATGTTACGTGAGAGCTGTGCGGGCCAGCACTTCAGTCTCCGTGGTGAGGAATTCTGGCCTGTTTCACACAGGATCACAATTCTAACACTGATATCTGAGAAGGCACACCAGGGAGCATGGAAAATGTCTTGTCTTTACTTTTTAAGATTCTGAACCTGGAAAGGATGACTTCTTAGATTCTGATTGATGAGTACGACAGACACTGAGGCCTATACACCAAGAGGTTTCTTCTTGGTGTTGCTCAGTTCTGAGGATCTGTAAATTCAGGACTAAAGAGCCCCTCTTAGGCTAACCCCGTATTTAGTGTCCTACTATGCAGCAGTAAGCCCTTTCCCAAATGTCGGTGGAGTTGGCACCTCCTTACCCCAAGAAGATTTTAGGGAGAAGACAGTGATGTTTCCCTACATCTTAAGTCTTCCTTAATATGGAGAGTGGGGTTGAAGAAATTAATTTGTAGAGTCAGGCAGTGGTGGCTCCCGCCTTTAATCCCAGCACTCAGGAGGCAGAGGCAGGCAGATCTCTCTACGTTCGAGGCCAGCCTGGTTTACCAAGTGAGTTCTAGGACAGCCAGGGTTACACGGACAAACCCTATCTTTTTTTTTTATATAGGATATATATATAACATGTCTGTATATATGACATGAAATGTAATATTGTCTAGGGAAACAAAGAGCACCAATGGAAGGGGAGGGCTGAGGGAGGGCAAGGTGGAGAGTATGGAGAGGGGACCACTGCTCGATGGGCACTACACACTTGTGCGAAGATGTTACACAGTACCACGAGTACAGATGATGGGACATGTTAAAGGCTGTAACAACAGTAAAATAAAACAAGGTATAAAGCAAACCTGACAATATAGCAGCATTAAAAGAAAAATTAACTGACTGAATATGAATTCCAGGGCGTAAGAGCGTGAGCAACGGGAACTTGTTCCCCAGCCACGGGGCATGGGGAAATGAGGCGGCCCCCAAGACCATCTCTTTGCCCACCTTGGCTTCCTCTCCAATGACAGTAATTCTAAAATCATCCTGATAATTACCTGTCCTCTCTTTAACGCAGTAAAGACAGTAGGCTGGGGGAGAGATGGGATGGGGAGCTCCCCTCTGCATTCCAGGTTTCTCCTGAGGTCTTCCTCCTCATACCCGGCGCCATCACAGAACCAGTCTGGGGAGGACAGGACCCGCTCCCGTCGTGGTATCTCTAGATTAGTTAGGGGTTGCTGTAATGAGACTGCCTCTTCACTCAGAGGAGGAGGACGTCTGCTATATTCGATTAATTAAATAAAGCAGAATCGACGTGTACACACCCCTAGGAGGGAAAATGATAGTTTTTATGACATTTTTAGCTTTCTCCTCAGCTTAATTTTATCAGTGAAACTTTACATCGTGGTACATTGGGGCCTTTTTAATGATCTACTTTTTGCGTGTGTTTTTTGCTTTGTTTTGCTTCCAAATGAAAGACTGAGATACAGAGTGGCCAGCGACTCGCCCAAGATCACACCAGGCAACAGCAGTTGGTAGGAGGCCTGACTGCAGCCTGGGATACCCAGCCCAGATCTGTTCCCTCCTATGCCTGGAAGCAAGAGTGGGCAGGTGGCATGTCAGTTCTGTTCAGAGATGCTTGGAGCCTCATTCTCCTTGCCCCCACCAGCACAGTAATCAAAACAGCAGTCGAGGAACTGTAGCATAGCTGAAAAACTCTCGCTTGGCATGAATGAGACACTAGCTTCAATCCCTATCCCCATATAAAAGGCAGCTACCATCAATAAAAACAGAAACACTTTTTCATAAGAGAATAAAAATAAACAAAATGACACTTGCACTCACAAGAGGACAGATTTTTACATTGCTCCAGTTTTAGGGACGGCTTTACTCATAGAGATGTGCTGGGTACTTATCTTTGTTACATTCCCAAGCTAAGCTTCAGTGTTGGGATAGTGTGTGCTAGAAAGTTCCCCTTTGTATCTTCCTTAAAATCACAGGTATTTCTGTACTTGACTTTGCTATCGGTGTATGTTTTGAAATTAATTTCTGTGTCCATTTTTTTGTTTGCTTGTTTGCTTTTGTTTTTGAGACAGGGTTTTTCTGTGTAGCTTTGGAGCCTGTCCTGGAACTCACTCTGTAGATCAGGCTGGTCTTCAACTCACAGAGACCTGCTGGTCTTTGCCCCAGAGTGCTGGGATTAAAGGTGTACACCACCACCACCTGGCCTGTGTCCATATTTTAGAGAAGCAGAAACCACTTTTAGATTCCTCTCATTATTATTGAACCAAATACTATTTAAATAAGAAATTTTTAAAATTCATTGGAAGCAGCTTATGTTTCCTCTGAAAACATTTTTTTTGAGATACAATTTCATATGGCCTCGAACTCAGTATGTAACAGACCTTACCATCTGATGCTCATGGATTCGGGTAAAGGCCTGAGGATTGAAATGAAGACAAAAGACAGCGGGTCATTCTTGCAAGAGGGGAGCCATTTATTGCAACAAGAGGTGAGCATTATATATCAGTTAGCAGGCACGGTGGAAAACTATCAAGGTCAGAAGTTCATGTTCCCAGGGCCTTCTGGCAATAAGGATGGGCAGATAACAAGAACTTGAATTCAGACAATAAGGATGAACAGAACACAGGAACTTGCATTCAGGCTTTACTGAGAGGAGGGAATAAGAGAAGTTCCTAGTCACAAGCTGGTCAGCAGATCCCTATGGGGGAAGGGTTCAACAACTACCTGCCTTGTGCCAAGACTGTAAGAGCCCACCGCCACACCCAGCTTAGAGGTACTGGGATTTGAACTCAGGGCTTCATGCATGCTAAACAAGCACACTCCCACAGAAACAGAGACTGTGCAGTCACTCACTGTTACCTTCTCCCCACTAGTCTGCATCATTAAAGTCAACTAGGCAAGCACACACCCTTGCTGGTCTCAGACGAAGGGAATAAAGAATGACATTTTCATCTTGTAATTTCGATGTCTTCTGGGGAAAGTTAACTGGTAAACTCGTCTTGCATTTAAGTTCAAGGTTTCTTTCCATGATGGAACCATGAAGCATGTGCACAAAACGTGTGGTGTGGAGAGAGGGCTACCCGTATTCTTTACAACACATGTGGTCTGGTTTGTTTTGGAATTAAGACACCCATTTGCAGGAGTGAGGAAGGGCGTGGCTGCTCGCCTAGAGTTCTAGCCTTGGAAGTCAGAGGCGGTCTTCCCTGGAATCAGCTTGCTGGCAACGGAAGTCAAGTTGATGAAACAATCTAGGTTTGACTGAGAGTCCTTGCCTCAAAGACTAGCATTACAGAGACTGCCACCACCTCACCCTGAGTGGACAAAGATATCCATGCTTCATATCAAAGGCCCCGCCACACACCCAGGTATGATAATGTTTGGGGGCAGCCATTCTATTGTCAAGGGACATGGGTGACTGTTGAGTTGATTTGTTTGAGCCAAGAATTTGTCTTTACCAAAGGAGGGAATCTCCTTGAAAAAATACAGATCTGAACTCCAAATGCCTAGAAGACTCTTGTTCCCCGAGTCAGCCTGTTTCTAGTCGTAAAGAGCCAGCTGGGGACCCAGGACATAGAGACAGAACTCTTCAAGCAGGGAACTGAGACATTTCCCGAGGGGGAAACTGTGTTTCTCATCACTCCAGATGCAGATGGAAAGGAGGGCACTAAATCCCCATTCTAGGGCTTCCCTAGTGCTAGGGCAGGGTCAAACGTAATGGGTTTGCAATAACTTTACATGGGCTTCCTGAAAAAAAAATAAATCAAAGGATAAGGTGGAGAGTGGTGAGGGGCAATTTGCCATATCAACATCTGGCCTTCGCATGTGTAAACACACACACACACACACACACGTACATTCATACCCATACACATGGAAAAAAAACAAGCCTATGCTGCAAACTGTGACCCATATTGTTTAGCTAGAACGGGCCTTGCACATTCGTTCTATGAAGAATCAGATGGTAAATGGAATAGGTTTCTCAGACCATAGCATCTGCCAAACTGTATCAAGAGCTGTAGACAACAGGTGTACACACTCACATACACACACACACTCACACACATGCTGACACATACACACACTTGAGCATGCATGTCTCTGTTCAGTAAAACTTTATTTACAAAGGCAGCCATGTGGGTCATAGTTTGCTGACTTACTGTCTGAGAGCTTCTTGAAATAAATTTATTGCAGTGGAAAGATGGAGAGGTTAATAATGGAAAAAAGGGGGGCAGTTAGCTGCAGATAAGGAGCTCTGTCTCGTGACTCCCACTCCTGTGACTCAGTGTCTGGCACCACACTTTTAAAAATGACTCCTATCCTCCGATTAGAAAATAGGCTTTCCTTTCTGCCGCCGCCATGCCATCCAGACTGAGGAAGACCCGGAAACTCCGGGGCCACGAGAGCCATGGCCACGGTTGCATCGGTAAACACTGAAAGCATCCATGAGGCCTGGGGAATGCTGGAGGCATGCATCACCACAGGATCAACTCCGACAAACACCACCCAGGTTACTTTGGTAAAGTTGGCATGAGGCATTACCACTTAAAGAGGAGCCAGAGCTTCTGCCCGATTGTCAACCTGGGTAAGCTGTGGACACTGGTCAGTGAGCAGTCAGGGGTCAACGCTGCCAATAACAAGACCCAAGATGCTCGCATCATCGATGTTGTACAATTCAGCCGCTACAAAGTTCTGGGGAAGGGAAAGTTCCCTAAGCAGTCTGTCATCATGAAAGCCAAATTTTTCAGCAGAAGAGCTGAAGAGAAGATAAATGGTGTTGGAGGTGCCTGTGTCCTGGTGGCTTGAACCACCCAGGGAGGTTAATTAAACGCTAACATTAAAAAAGAAGAAATTAGAGTGAGTCAGTGGAAAGCTTGGAGCACCTCATTCTAAAACATGACTTTTAAATGAGGTGTGCGCCTTAGAGAACAATATGTCTCATGTGTGCATTATTCCTGTGTGCAGTTTGTGCAATGTATCTATAAAATAAGTATACTTATGTAACTGTGGCATGCTATCCATGAGGATTGCCTCCAAATCTGTGGGTACTCAAGTCCTTTCTAAAAATATCAGTGTTTACACACAACCTATCTAGCCTCCCTTATGTCTTAAATCATTCTAGCTTACAGAGAACACTTATTCCAATGCAAATATTTTTATACTGTAATATTTAGGGAAATGATAACAATAAAACTTCTGTATATAAAATTAAAGGCATGCATATTATATATATTATATACATACATACACACATACACACACACATATTGGTGCTGGAGATTGAACCCAAGGCCTCATGATGCTGGGCAAGTGCTTTACCACTGAGCTGTAGGACCAGCCCTCCTGTATTTTTTTCTGTCTAAGTTGGTTAAATCCATAGAAACAGAACCCAAAGATCCCGAGAATCAACTGTATGCCATGACATTCAACAGCCCAACTTCATTTTCAGTAGTTACTTTCACAGATAGTCAAACTGGGTTGCTGTATGACCTCCAATTGAAACAGGCATCCCAAGTTCACACCGTGTCTCTTTGAGATTCAGGGTTGGTCTATCCTAGGTGAGCATGAGCCACAGGGGCAGGTTGGGGCTTGTGGCCCCCTGGCTGCTCCCATCAGAGGGCTTGTCTGTCAAGTTGATAGAACACTACCAAGAGTCCTGGAGCCCAGGTCGTGAAGACAAGGGTGAGAATCTGAGGTCATCGTCTTGACAGGTTTGGCAGGTGGACAGGAGACATTTAGTGAGCTGGAGGAGAGACAAAACGAGCCACAAAAGACAAGAGAGCAGCTCAGAGTGAAGTCTGGAAGCCTTGAACTTCACATCTGCCGGGAGGCCCTTTCCAAAGGTCATCTGATCCCATTTCCTAGCTGCAGGCCATCTCTCACTCTGATTAAATTCTGTGTGTTGTGCAGTGGCCCATTCTGGGGAATCTGCAGAGTGGTCAGCTCACCTTGAGTCCCATGGCATAAAATAGATGTCCCCCAAGGAGGGTCAGTAAGACTACCCTCTTGCCAGTGTAAAGCACAGGTTACCCTGCAAATGCCTATCAGCAGTATTTCCAGCAGGAGGTAGAGGTTGACTGAGAAATCTTTGCAGGCAGTCAGGTTTTAATGCCAGGGCTTTGAAGTTCATCTTTCAGATTAAAATGCCTGATAGATCAGTTATGACTGTTATAGTTATGACTATAATGGAATTATGTAATTAAAACAACCTAATCTCTATAAAAGTAATTTTGTAAGGTAATCTATTCTTCCTTCTGGAATTCTGTAGGCACTCCCTACCCACTCCACTGTCCTATTCCCCACTCCAAATCTTTTCCCCTGGCTGCCACAACTGGTGGATAGACAGAATCGTACGAATTCTAAATTACTTTTAAAAATTGACATTACTTTGCTGGAAGCCAACTACTTTGTAAGCTGTGTCAGCTAAAGGTCTCCCACCAGTTACTCTGAAGAAGTTACCGCTGTCATATCTGTCCTGCTAATTTAAGCAGAAAACTGTAATTAGATGTAAGTGGTCCTGTTTCCACAGAATTGAATGGCAGCATCTATAGAGAGAGCCAACCGTTCCAAACCCTTTTTGGCTACCGGCACTCTACAAGTTAGCAGTATGGAGTGAGGCCCAGATCCAGACTTCTGTCGGCCTAATTTCGTATCTGTGGATGCACAACACTAAATCCAATCTTCCAACGCCTTGCTGTGATGGGTGCAAAGCCAAGCACATTCCAACTTTTATGCTGGTGGTGTCTCCTGAGGAGAGCACTCTGTGTGAGCGTGTGAGCATGTGTGTGTATGTGTGAGCGCGCGCGCGTGCGTGTGTGTGTGTGTGTGTGTGTGTGTGTGGTGTCTCCTGAGAAGAGCACTCTGTGTGAGCGTGTGTGTGTGTGTGTGTGTGTGTATGTTTCTCAAGCACTTGGCATTAGGAGGATAAAAAAATAAGGATAAATTTGGGCATAAAATCAAAAAAGTAGAAAGCTATGCCTATAACCAAACAGTGGACATTTAAGGATGGTTTTGATAAAGTTTTTGTTGTTGTTGTTGTTGTTTCTTTGTTTGCTCCTTTGGGAGAGGGTTGTGCTGCTTGGGTCTTGAAAGTCCAACCAATGATAGTGCCCCTGTATGAAAGTCCCCTGATTGCAGGGGGTGTCTTTGGGGGAGGGGCATTAGGCTTGTCTGTTTTCAGGTAAGCAGTTAGAGATATTCATATGGGGCAAGAGAGGTCGTTCTGTGGGCAACATGCTTACAGTAATTGCCTAAAGAGCTGAGTTTGATTCCTTGATCCCACATAGTGTTGACAGGAAGGAAAGAACCAGTTCTACAAATTTGTCCTCTGACCGAAACATGCACGCATGCACACATAATAATTTAGAAGACATCAATATTAAGATATCACATCCGGTACTACTGTGGGAGGGACATACACAAACCATAGATGATTCAGTTTCTCCATGAACAGCAATATGGCTGGGGGGAGCCAAACTATACAAACTCAAAAACAATGTTGTGTGAAATGAGGCCAGTAAAAAGAAACACTTGATCATAATGGGGAAAGTGTGATCCAAAACCTTCACTTACTTCAAACCTGGAGCCACATTGTGAGATGGATGTCGGGACCAGACTGAGGTTCCCCACCGAGCTAGTCACCTGAGAACTTGGGGACCCGTGCCATCTCAATCCATTCCAACCACAGTGCTTTAGCGCAGTGTTCTATTGCTGTGGAGAAACACCACGGCCAAGGCAGTGCTCCTAAAAGGAAACATTGCAACGGGGCCTTGCTCGATTGCAGTTTTTAGAGGGTTACTCCGTGGTCATCATGCTGGGAAGCAGATAGGCGTGGTGCTCAAGCAGTAGCTGGGAGCTTTGTACCCTCATACGCAGGCAGCAGACAGAGAGAGAGGAGGTGGGGAGGCTGGACCCGGCATGGGCTTCTGAAACCCCGAAACAAGCAAACAAACAAACAAACAAAAACACCAAAAAGAAACCAATATAAAGCAAAAACCAGATAAATAAATAAATAAATAAAACAACCACAAACAAAAAGCAAAGCTTAGTGAGGAATCGTTCAGTACAAATTGTAGCAGCAAACTTTCTTGAAAGATGACAACCCTAGGCCTTAAAACTTGAAGACTGGATTGTCCCAATGAATAGTGATGATATTTCAGGAAAGCTAAACTCTATGACACCAACTCAAGAATACCCCTCTTCCTGACTTTGCAGTTTCCCAGCAAACATGTACTTGGTTTACTGTCTGATCCAAACAGGATGTGTCTGCAGAACTTCAGAATCACTGTGGATGGCAGGGAGGGACCAGAATCTATGCTAATACCATAGTCTTTTCTTGGCATGTTGGAGGCCAAAGGCGGGAAAGCTTCTTTTCTGAGGCAGATGTTTACTGGTCACGCATGATCATCAGCTGTGCCATATTTAAATGTGAAGATCAGTGTGTGTGTGTGTGTGTGTGTGTGCGTGTGTGACAGAGATAGAGAGAGAGAGAGACAGACAGACAGACACAGAGAGTACACACCTTAAATGCCACCTAAGAACTAACTTACCCTGGATTTTCTCATTTAAAAAATGGATTGGTCCCATATAAACAGCAGCTTTGCCTGGAATTTTGATTTTAGTTAAGTCTCAATCAGGGAGCTACAGATACTCAAGGGATCAAGACAGGCAATCTAAGTTTATAGTAATCGCGGAGCTCATTTTTAGCAAGGCTTACTTGCCTTCTGTTCCATTCTCTTGTTGTTGCCTCTTCTCTTAGTGACTTTCCCATTCTTCACTATAGCTAAAGCTTTGGTTCTTTTAATGTAGCCCGTTTTAATCTTTCAGTGCCATGTAGGCAAGAATTAATCTCTGGTGGAATTTTGCCATTTGGCCAATGGAAGAGATAGTAGAGGAACACTATAAAGTGGCAGAAATAAATTGCCATGAGTTCCTGTGTCTAAAGCTGTTGTATTCTAACAAGGCCCTTTGGAATTACTGGGAAAGACTAAGAAAGACTTGGGATTTTGTGGGAAGCCCCAACCCTAGAAATCCTGAACAGTACTCATATTTCTAATTGTTTCCGTAATAGAGATCCTCCTGGACCAAGTGTGTGTGTTTATATGCTGATGGGGAAAGGAGGGGACAAGTCAACAAAGGATACAGTTAGAATAATATATTCTCACTTGGTTCAATTAACCAGTGAGACTATAAGAATACCACTGACAACATCTGGCATAAAATAAAGAAAGCTGGGAAATCACTTTACGCTTTTGAGTGGGATAACCCCCGCGGATACCAACAGAAACAAGACAGCATTTCATACTGAGCTACTACTATGAATTGTCAGGATCTGATGTGGGCATCTTCATAATAGTCACACATTTTCCCCAGAGTCCAGTAACATAAAAAATGAGATTAGAAGAGACCTCACGGGTGCTCACTGTCTCATAAGACACAGCTGATCTAAGAGGTCCTTGTTTGCTATGATGTCATATGATCCCATTATGGTTAAGAAAGGGCAATTCAGTGAGTCCAAGTAGAAAATAGAGAGTGATTAAAATTTGGATCTTGGGACCAGGGAAATGACACAGGGGGCCAAGGCACTTGCCACCAAGCCTGATGACTTGAGCTTGATCCCCAGAACCCACATGGTGCAAAGAGAGAACTGACTCCTGTAAATTGTCCTTTGACCTCTGTACATGACCCTCAAAATAAATAAATAAAAACACACACACATGCTCTCTCTCTCTCTCTCTCTCTCACATACACACACACATACACACACACACACACAGACACACACACACATTTTTTTGTTTGTTTGTTTGTTTT